TTCTTCCAGGTAGGTGACAGGAGCCCAACTATTTGAGCCATCATCACTGTCTCCTAAAGTCCGTATTAGCAGGAAGCTGGAAGCAGGAGTCGGAGCCAGGGTTTGAACGCAGGCATTCCAGTGTGGGTCATTGGTTTCTTAATGGGCATTGTAACTGTGAGGCTAAATGCCTGCTTCCCTTTATGTGTTTTTACCACTATGTTTTTTAAAAAAGAGTAGACCCAGATATTCTGTTACAGAAAGATCTCTAAGAGAATAGTGCATAAGCTACGATTCTGTGTATGCATGCATGCATGTGTTATAAAAGAAGACCTATGTTTGTGTTTTCCCTTAAAAACCCTGGAAAGATAAATAAATGGTATTTACTTCGAGGGGTGAGGATGGAGGTTACAAAGGGGAAAAACTATTTCTACTTTTCATTTTAAGGTCTTTTGTGCCGTTTGATATTTTTATCACGTGTACACACTATATTTACAATAAATATTTAACATTTTAAATAACAGCTAATATTCATTTAATGCTTATGTGCCAGCCATTGTTCTCAGCACTTGCATGGAGTCATTTTTTAATCTGTATAATAGCTCGATGAGGTAGTCTCTTTATTACTATTGCTGTCTTATATATGGGAAACTGAGTGTAAGGTTAAGTAACTTAACCAAGATCACACATGGTAAGTCCTCCTAAAACCAAAGTCAAGCAATCTGACTCCAAATCCTGCCCTTTTAACCACTACTCAATGCTGCCTGGAAAAGGAATCACTCTTTTTCCTTTTGTCAACGACAAATACACGCCTGCGCATACACACATTCATTTTCCTTAAGCATATATTTTCAAAAGCCAAAGTAAGGGTGAAAAAAAATCTCACCTTCATTTCTTTTAAGATTTATTTTTATTTAATTGAAAGGCAGAGTTACAGTGAGAGAGGGAGAGTCAGAGAGAGGTCTTCCATGTGCTGGTTCACTCCCCAGATGGTCGCAACAGCTGGAGTTGGGTCAGGCTGAAGCCAGGAGCCAGGAGCTTCATTTGGGTCTCCCATGTAGGTTCCGCAGCCCAAGCACTTGGGACAGCTTCCACTGCTTTCCCAGGTGCATTGTCAGGGAGCTGGATCAGAAGTGGAGCAGCTGGGTCTCGAACAGGTGCCCATATGGAATGCCGGCATTACAGGCAGTGACTTAACCCACTAAGTCACAACACTGGTCCCCAAAAATCTCACCTTTAATCATGCCCATCTAGATGCCAATACTGTCAACCTTTTGCTATATGTCCATCTAGTCTTTAGCATATATTTTCTAGTCTAATTGAATTATATTGTGCATGCAATTTTGTTTTCTGCTTTTTTCCCTCTACATATAACATCACTTTCCTTTAAGACATCTCTTTTTAAGTCCTCTTAAAAACATAGTAATAGCATTGTGAAAGTTGGCAATGAGGGCCCCAGATTCATTTTAGAGAAGAGCCAGAGTAATAAAATCCTTGGAAAGACGAGTATGGAAAAAAAGATGAGAAGAGGAAAGTATGGGTCTGCAGTTACTAAGAAGTGGCTTCCATTTACTTGTCCAGGACTGTGAAAGTCTGGATTCCACTTTGTCCTTCTCTCTGTATCTTTATTATATTCCTGTGTATTCATATTTGGATAATTTGGTTGGGGTCAGCGTACCTAAGTGACTGTGCCTGGGGAACAGCAGGGCATTCTGGTAATTCTTCTAGGAATCCGGTTCCAGGAACGTCAAAAGTAGATTATTGCCACTTTAAAACGACTAAACATAATATAATCATGGTGATCCCTGAAGTATTAGAATGTTAGACTCGAAGTACAGAGACTCTCTAATGCAAATAGCCAACATTTTGCAGATGGGGAAATTGAGCCCAGAGAAGTTAACTTAACCACTCTAGGTCACACAGCTACTGAATGCAGAGCCTGGACTCAAATCCTGGTCTCCTGATTCCGGGACCACTGTTTTCAAAAGCTTCTGAAACTCTTTCAAATCAATTAATTAATCCTTGTAAGAATTCAGTAAAGTAGGTTAGTGTTATTTATTCTGACTTTAGACATTTGCTGAAAAAAAAAATGATTAAATGACTGTAAGCCAAAAGTGATTCTACTATAATTAAACATGTTTTTAATCACTCCCTAAAGAACAGACTATTAAGTAGGCTTATCATCTTCAGAATTAGCTTCCAGTTTCTTGTGCAACCGGTTTAAAGATCACCACTTTTCACCTGGCATATTAAATGCCTTTTATATTAAGAATAAAGCTTGTATTTCTCTTAGCAAGATTAAGCAAATACAGTCACTAGATTAGCCACCTCTTAGTGTTCCAACAGTCCTCTGATTAAATGAATAAATTTACTATTCATGGAAGGGGGTGCCTCACCTCAGGATTTGTATAAGTTATTAGAATGCATCCATTCACCTTTTGGTTTTCCTTCCAAATGACATCCTTAGGCTGTAATTTCTTCTCTTTGCTATATGGAATAGCAGGGGATGCACAATAGATTTCTTCATGTAATTTATTGTGATAGTCTCTGAATTTGGTCAAACAGTTTGCCAAAGAAGACTTTAATTAAGGTTTGCACAGAAGACGCATTAACCATTAAAGCAAACAAGTCGATATTTTTAGTTCAAAATTTGAACCGAAGTGGTCATATGATATAGACTCAGAGACAAGGTGAGTTTGGAGTTTAGGTCTTCTTGTCTTTCCTTTCTCAGATTTTCTTCCTTTTGGTATTTACTATTCTCATTCCATCTGCTTTGGCATTCCACCAGAGCTTATTTTTCCAAAAAAAGCATCTGTAGTGCCAAATTGATTTCTTATCATGATTAAAATGTGCCCCTCCCGCCAATGCCCTGATTTCAGCAAGCAGGAGTGGTGTGTGTGGCTATGGACAAAACTAAAGGTCCTAGGGAAAGTGTCTCAGATTTTATGGATGAGGAAACCAAGCCCTTAGAGTGACATGGCTGTTGGTCCAAGGGTAATGGGAGAACTGGAATTCCAATACCCTGAGAAATAACTTAATATCCGTGAGTTTTAGTTTCCTCTCCTGGCAATTAGAAATCAAGATATTTACTCTGGTTACTCTAGGGATCAAGTGTGACAGAACAAATGAAAACACTTTTGAAAACTGCAGTTTAGTACAAGTACTTAAATTTTTTTTCCATTAAGCTATGCTTATTTCCTTATTTTTAAAAAGATTTATGTATTTATTTGAAAATCAGAGTTACACAGAGAGAGGAGAGGCAGAGAGAGAGAGAGAGAGAGAGAGAGAGAGAGAAAGAGAGGTCTTCCGTCTGCTGGTTCATTCCCCAATTGGCCGCAATGGCCGGAGCTGTGCTGATCCGAAGCCAGGAGCCAGGAGCTTCCTCCGGGAAGGGACCCAAGGACTTGGGCCATCTTCTACTGTTTTCCCAGGCCATAGCATAGAGCTGAATTGGAAGTGGAGCCGCTGGGACTCGAACCAGCATCCATATGGGATGCTGGCACAGCAGGCAGTGGCTTTACCCACTACACCACAGCGCCAGTCCCTCCTTATTGTTGATAACTAGTAAATGTTAGACATGCGACTCTTTCAAGTAGCTTTTGCATTTTGAAGGAAGAGGTTTTGAGGACACGTCTAACCCCAGAGGAAAAACCCAGTACAGACGCATCCCAGGGGCTCCTCATACCCCAGAGGCAGTGAACTTAGCTTTGTTGACCCATATGCTTTAGCAGTAAGAGCAAAGCATACTTTCACAGATGAGGGAGCTAAGAAGTTTGTAAGGAACCTGAAAAACTGCCTCTACAGTAGTTCAAGCATTTAGGACGGAGTTTGACTGAATTAACTTATAATTCCCTTTTAATGCTGAAGTTCTGTAACTGCGAACTTCCAATGGATTCATCTTTGCAACAGGCACCCCTCATCATGTGATTTCTCTCCAGACCTAGAAACACGAGTGCTTATCGTGTGTTACAATTGCATTGCATCCTCCTTGGGAGCACCTAATGGAGGGATAAATAAAATCTTACATGGTTTTATATGCCCAGTACTTGACATGTAGTGGGTGCTCATGACATGTTTGTCCATTGAATGAATAGGAGATATCAGTGTGGTGTAGGTCAGCTCTAGGAGAGTGAGCAGATTATTACAGTCTTTTGTTTCGAAGTCATTAAGGTGTTGGAGACTCTGGCTTGCAGAGAAAACAATAGGAAGTTCAGTTTACCTGAAGTACAGGGAGTTCTGTGATGGAGGTCGGACAGTGAGAAATGCAGCTGTGCAGTCTGGGCAGATCATCAAGGCTTTTATATGCTCAGCCATGATTTGGGATTTTTAAAAAAGATTTTATTTATTTATTTGAGAGGTAGAGTTAGAGAGAGAGAGAGAGACGGAGAGAAAGGTCTTCCAGCTGCTAAGGGTTTGCTCTCCAAATGGCAACAACGGCCGGAGCTGGGCCGATCCAAAGCTAGGAGCCACAAGCTTCTTCTGGTCTCCCATGCCGGTGCAAGGGCCCAAAAACTTGGGCCATTTTCTACTGCTTTCCCAGGCCATAGCAGAGAGCTGGATCGGAAGTGGAGCAGCTGGGACTAGAACCGGTGCCCATATGGGATTCTGGCACCGCAGCAGAGACTCAGCCCACTAAGCCACAGTGATGGCCCCCTGGATTTGGGATCTTATCTTGACAGCAATGGGGGGAAGGGAAGGGAGTAGAAAAAGATTGGAAACAAGGGTAACAATTTTTATTTTTATGCAAAGGAAATGGGTCTTGTGTGGGCCGCTAGCCCAGGTAAATTGCAGCATCTAAATCCGTGTCGTTTCGTGTGGGGGGTGGGGTGGGGCAAGAGTGGGAAGCCTGAGCAAAGCCTTAGAATCCTCAGCTGCAACCGCTCAAGGAGATCAACTTTGGCTCCAGCTTTGCCGCACAGGAGGGGCGGAGTTACTTGAATGATTCCTCAGGAGAAGGCGATTGGCCCTGGGGGAATTGGAGGGGGCGGGACTAGTCCATTGTTGCCATTGGTCCTGCGGGCAAGTTGAGGGATGGCAGCGAGGGAGGCGGAGCCCGCGAGGGCAGGCAATTGGTTAGGCGAGAGCCCACCGAGAGGAGCGAGCAGGCAGGCAGAGGAGCCCGCAGCCGGGAGCCAGGAGGCAGCCGCGGAGCGCCCACCAGGGCCGCAGCGGGGCGAGGGGTACCCCGGGCGTTGGCACTCGGGTGCGCGCCTGCGTAGCCGACTGGGATGCGGTGAGGACATTGCTGCGCCCTGTGCGCTCGACGCGAGTCATTCAACAGCTGGCCTCTGGGGCCACAGTCGCAGCGAGAGACAGGGAGTGTTGACGGTTGCGACTGCGGTGGTTGGAGGGAGACAGCGGCGGCGGCCGCGGCGGCGGTGGCGTTGGTGGCTGCAGTTCCGCTACCCCAGCGGAGCCAGGAGTGCAGGCGCAACGGTTCCTGAAGATTCCCGGTAAATGCCCTCCGCTCTGCTCGCACAGAAGGCGGCCACGTCCCGCTGCGTCTTAGCTGACCGGCCGGCTGGCCTGGCCTACTAGCGGAGCTATGGATGCCTCGCAGACAGGGCCACTCGGGACCCTTGGTGAGGCTTGGGGGCGGGCTGCACTGGAGACCCGGGTCGCCTCGCATGCCCCAGGAGTATCAGGTTTCCCAAAGATGCGCTTAGACTCTTGCCCTGGTCCTCTCCCTTCACCCTAAACCCTCCTGCACCTCCCCGGGGCCCGGGCACCGCACTAGGGGGAGCTCTGACACCCACTCCAGAGCTAACTCGACTCACGGCTCCTTCCGAGGTCACTGGAGGCATTCCCCTGGGGTATGTTGGCAGTAACATCCCGCTAATGGGAACTGAAGGTGCCCTCTCTTGCTCCACCGACACGCCAAGGGCCCCGGGCGCTCAGCTTTTCCCTGCTTCCCTGTTTCCGCCGCATTCAGCCAATTAATTATTAGCAGGGCTCCTCCACCCCATGACTCGGTCGGCTTCAGGGACTTCTCAACAGACTCAGTCTCAGCTTGAGGTTTCCAGTGCGGACGAAATAAGACCATTTCCAATCTGACCGGGAGAACAAGGCTCACTCACAGAGCTTTCAGGGTGTGGGATGTAAGCTCTTGAGCTGGGGGCGGGGAAGAAGCAAGTTGGGGAAGGCCAGGCTATAGGAAAAAATGTAATTCTAGCAAGCGGGGACATCCTAATGTTGGAAGTTGCGACTGTGCCTGCTTTGCATTTGATCTGCTTTCTGTGATTTGGATATAAAGCCTATCATTACAGGAGCATTTTGGATGCTGCTGACTCCAAGGGGTGACTTGCACCGAAAGGCTGGGTTCCAGCATGGGGGGACTTGTCACCCTTGGGGGAGAGTGCTTTTCATTTTCTTAGCGTCTTTTCTAGTTTGGGCATATGTTCTCAAAGATCATGCCCATTCTGACCTATGTCTTTCTGCCTGCCTGTGTCCTAACTTGGGAACTTGATGTTCTTGACCTTAAACTTATGAAGCACCATTGGCAGGGCTCAGTCTTCATGCTGAGAAAACCATTCTTGGGATAATATACTTGTCACCTCTCACATTCTGATTGTTTGTGTGCCTTTTAGGACATGTAGCATTCCAGTAGTCATGTTTTTCTATGCCCTGTTTTTAGTTTTTATGATTTTTTTTGGGGGGGGGGAGGGTCTTCTCAAATCATGGATTAACTTGAAGCATGGAGTAACTTCATGAAGATATTTTTCCTTCGACTCTTGTTAGGCACCGAGAAAGGTGAGAGTGGAAAAGCCCATTGGCTGGTGCTCAGGGGATCCCAGCTGTCAACATACATGGGACTGACTTGAGGTGCCATACCACTGGGGTAGATCAGCACAGGGCACTCGGAGGCCATCTTGGCTTCTGTAGTGGATCCCAAGCTTTCCATTTCACCCAAGCCAGAGACAGTACTTGCAGTGTAGCCCATTTGTTCAGGTTCTCGGTCATCACTCATGGGAAGAGAGTGGCCTTTGACTGGTTTCATGTGTCATGGCCAACATGAGAAGAAAAGGTGAGGCACGGAGGTTAGGAAAGAAACGTGTTGGGTACAACATTGTGTGAGTGTGAGTGTGTGTGTGTGTGTATGTGTATGAGAGAGAGACAGAGACAGACAGACAGACACAGAGAGACTTACTGACAAGCATTGAAGCAGTTCTCTACCAGTGAGACTAGCTGTGTGTTCATCTCTCAGTATGCATTCCTGACTATGCTAGAAGAAAGGACTTTTGCTGAGTTGTTTTACAGCCAGCATGGTGTTAGTTGTGAGTGTCTCTGATCTAATGTCCACTTGGGTCTATGGGTTCTGTGATACATCCAACATATTTCTGGCACTGTAAGAAACTCTAAAGTCAAGCTGTGGCTGAGGCAGATTAATGCCTGAGACACAGAGCAAATGTGGACAGCATGGAATCCAGTGATGCTTTACTCAGAAAAGACAGCATAAGGTCTGAAGCACTTACAGAAGCAGAGGAAGATCAGTGAAAATTGAGTAGCCATAAGAATATTAAGAGCTCCCATTAACTGAACACTTGTTGGAGGTTAAGTACTTTATTTGCATCATTTCATTTACTTCTTCTAAAATCCTGTAAGGTAGGCACTGTTACAGGTTGAGCATCCCTAACACAAAAATCCAAACTCTGAAATGCTCCAAAATTGGAAACTTTGAGTACTGACAAGAGACCACAAGTGGAAAATTCCACATGTGACCTCAGGAGACAGGTTGTAGTCAAAAGGCAGGTGTGCTAAAATATTGCATCATATTACCTTCAGATGATGTGTATTAGATGCCTATGAAACATAAATGAATTTCATGTTTAGACATGGTTCTTATCCCCAAAACATCTCATTATGTGTATGCACATATTCCAGAATAAAAAAAAATCTGAAATCCTAAGCACTTCTCTCATCCCAAGCATTTCAGATAAAGGATGCTCAACTTATATCATCTTCAGAAGCTCAAAGACACGCCCCAGGACATCACTCAGCTGATCAATGTCTGCTTGATGCCAGCTCTTGAGTTTGAAAGTGTTTGTTTTCATTGTCACAAGAAGGTTTTATAACAGAGCCGAGATGTGAGCAAGACTTTGAAGGGTGGGTAGCATTTAAATGAGAGAAGGTATTTGGCGGAGGGGATCAACATCATTGAAGGAACTCAAAGAGACTGGCCCAACTGGAGGGGAGCACACACACACAGGTACATTGATAAAATATATAGGGCTGGTGATGTGAGGTGGGATCATGTTTTGGAGAATCCTGAAGGGAACTTATGATTTGATGGAGTTAGAAATAAAGAATGTTGAGAATTTCTGAGCAAGGAAAAACATGACAAAAACAGTACCAATTACCTGGTGCGACTTACTCGTCCTTTCTGGAAAACCTTGCCCAACTGTCAGCATATTTAACTCTTGATTCAAGTTTCCTGAGCCCTTGGAGAATATCAGATGCATGGAACTGAACAGACTCCTGGGCTCGATGTGCAGAGAGCAAGCTAGAGGCTCTGGGTCACATTCTGCCCTCGATGGGTATGTTTCAGCATAAACAATGTGTAAAGAAGCAATTGAATTAGGGGTCAACACTGAAGAAGCAGAAGATCTATACACAGTAGGATTTCCAGCTTATCTGGAAATGGCAGAAGGTCTGGTCTGCGCTTCACCTGTGGAAGGCAGAGCTGTACAGAGCTGACTCCTTCCGTTGGGGGCTGAATACTCTACTTTTCTCCACTCCCATCCAGTCCCCAGCCCCCATTCTTGGGACCTAACTGGCCCTGTAGGTCCCGACCCCCTGCTCAAGGGAAACAGAGCCCCACCTGGGAAGATTCTAATCTGGGGCTGGCTTCTCATTTTTCTGAATAATTAGGAATTGTCAGACATGCCAGAGAACTGTCTCTGAAGTGCAAATAATCCTGGCCTGTGGGGGTGCTGTTGAAATCATTGAGGAAGCCCTTGGTTGCCAGGGACTGGGCTTTGTCCACAGTTAACACCTGTCCTCTGGCCTGGGACCAAAAGCCGGCTGTGAAAGGGCCTCAAAGAGACATTCTGAGGGACCTTGCTGTCCTCCTTTATCCTTTACTTGGACTCAGATTTTCTTGCCGAGTACTTCGTGTATAGGTCCTGGGTCAAATGACAGAAAAACTATGGGGGAGAAAACAACTCAAGAGACTACCTACAAGGTAGCATGGAGAACATATTCATCTGGAAGGTCCTAAAGCACACCACGTGTTCCAGAGGGACAGGTGCAAGCTACTTCGGGGTTGGCATTTAGGGTGGGGGGCTCTTCATTTGTGGTCTGTCTGGGAACTGCGGGGCATTTGGCATCACTGGCCCCCTCCTTACTAAAGGGGTATGGTGCCCTTCCCTGTGCCAGGTGTTGTGACAGCTACAACTGTTCCTAATGTTCTTGAAGGGAGCAAGATTGGGCCTGTTTAAAAACCAACTAAGGCATATTCCCAGGGATTTGAACACTCATCTCATGTGAAAGAATGATAAGTTCACTTATCGCATATTTGTGGCCCAAAGTACCCTAGGCCTCTCAGGCACTTACTATTTTCTTACTTAGATTCTGGTTAATTGTCTTAATTTCTTTCTTTTCCTAGACACAATTCTTTGAGGGTGATGCATCACTGTAGCCCCCAAAGTGTCTTTAACAGAGTAGCTGCTTGGTAGGTACACATGGATGCATCTTGATGTTCGCTGATTAATGGTAGGAGTTTCAGAAGTCTAAAAGAACAAGCAAGTGGGCATTGTCATTTCACTTTGGTCTGGAGGTGACCTTTCAAATGTGAAAATAGCATCGTTTCAATGGAGTTCTTGAGAAAAGTGTCCGTTTTAGTTAAGATTTAGCATCGATTATGTTTCTACTGTGTGCCAGGCACTGTTCTAGGCTCTGAAGACATAATGGTGTGCCAGACAGATGCAGCCCTTGCCTTCGTGGGACTTATGGACTTGTGGGGTAGGGGACACAGGCAGGTAAAAAAGCAAGTCAGCAGCCGGTGCTGCGGCTCAATAGGCTCATCCTCTGCCTACCGGCGCCGGCACACCGGGTTCTAGTCCCGGTCGGGGCACCAGATTCTGTCCCGGTTGCCCCTCTTCCAGGCCAGTTCTCTGCTGTGGCCCGGGAGTGCAGTGGAGGATGGCCCAGGTCCTTGGGCCCTGCACCCCATGGGAGACCAGGAGAAGCACCTGGCTCCTGCCATCAGATCAGCGCAGTGCGCCGGCCGCAACACGCTGGCTGCGGCGGCCATTGGAGGGTGAACCAACGGCAAAGGAAGACCTTTCTCTCTCTCTCTCTTTCTCACTGTCCA